TAGGATATAGGAATCCTTTCTTATTTTCTTTGATATTTTTGTGACATACAGGTATGCAATGATGATTGTTTTATAACATGTATGTTGATGTTGTCTAATGTCAAGTCTCTGTTTAATCATGTGACAAGACAATACGATATCCATATCCGGTGGCTAGTTTAGGCATAGTATCTGTGAAGACTGACAAGCTGAGCACATCTACAAGTCCAGCGAGCAGCCATGCCTTTTATACATAAAAGCGGCAGTAAGAAAGACCAAGAAAGAGACAAAAAGGAGGAAAAAGTAGCAGATGGCAGTGGTGTGTGTGTGTGTGTGTGTGTGTGTGTGAGTGCGCCTTCTAACCAGAAGCCACAACTAGCGTGTGCCAGGGCCCGTCACAATAGTGTGCACTGGGGCCCGTGGTGCCACTGACTGTGTGGCTCCATTTTTTATTTTTTGTTTCAACATACTGGCCAATTAGTTTAATTTCTATTACAAGTGTACAGACATTCCTGTGAGCCACAATGGATCATTTTGTAACATTTCAAGCAACAGATACTGACACACCCTCCACATCAGAACCCACTGGTGAAAGTGTCGAGGGTGAGGATAATGCAACCATGCTACAACTGCTGCTTACTTAGCAGCCACAGGCAAGTGCAAACAACACCTGGAAATATTCAGAGAATTATTTCAAATGCAACTCAGTTTTATACAATATGTGTAGTACAGGGTCACTGCTCCGTCTCTCTTTCAGCTACGAGGTCCTTGGCCTGAAGGACGTTAAAAACCCTGCTTTATGTGACAGTTCGCAACATATTCCAGAATAATTTAGTTGAACGTGAATGATTCAGTCAGCATGTGCTGCATAGGATGAATAGTTCAAGTTCAACTAAATCATTCTGAGAATATGTACGTTTGTCCATGAAATGTCACATAACCTGCACTCTGTGTATAACCTGTTAATCAAATACAGCAAACACCTGAATTGTTAAATCTCAACTAAGCTGTTGAAATGTTACAAAATCTCTTCAAATGATCGTAGGTGGACTAAATCAAGTGTTAACAAACCTAATTACAATCTAAGGAAACATTTATGAAAAATATTGTTTGCTGTATGACTCAAAGTGTCTCACATTTGTTCTTATTTCATCAGAGGGAAACTAAAAGTTGTTTGCAAAGATGGATATGAGGCAGAGCAGTGGTTCGGCCGTTGCTGTTTTCCAACTAGTGTTTACATGTTTCCCTGAATTCACATTGGTTTTATCTGGATGATCAAGTTTCCTCCCACAGTCCCAACGCTTGCACGTCAGGTGGACAGGATGCTCTTACGCTGTCCATGTCCCTGCCTTCAATAAAAGCTTAGCTATTATCCCATTTCCAGTTATATATACACCATTATTTCATACAAATAGTTAGGTGCTTCACAGGATTAATAAAACATTTAAACAGAGAAGCTGTGTGGTTTTCAAATGTCTGTGGTCAACAGCCTTGAAAACAAACAAACAAGTAGCCTGTAGCTGTAACAGCAAGGAAATGCTGTAGTAAATAACTATTAAAGAGGGTTATGTCTGCTGAAGGTTTATGCAAATATCTTGGAAGGAAATGTGTCAGTGTCCTTGTATGACTGACAAACATCCAGTGTTGCATGCAAATGTACATGCAAAAGCAACCCTGAGGCAAATGCAAATCATGACAACAATGAAAACTAATACAAACATTCAAAAGGTCTTTACATGATTGTATTACAGGCAAAAAGTTTAAAGATGTTTACTCCTGGTTTTCATAATGGCACGCTGATCGCAGTGACAGGGTTAATGTAATGTGAATTTTCCCCTACGATGACACAATGAGCCGTCCACAGAATGTAACATGTGCAGAGTGATGAATGTGAGGTTTAGCTGTGATAATAACTCAGAGTGAGTGGGCGTAATGGGAATTTACTGCACTTAATGTGCTCATCTCCTGAAAGATATTTACACCAAAGAGAGTCAGAGAGCAAACCACAAGCAAATGTCAGGAAAATGCTCCGGAAAGATGAACACCACTTGTGTGACACACACATATACATACACAGGAGGTGCAAAGTGAGTCTGGCAGTGCTTCATGAACAAGACAATCAATAATGCCATTAAATAAGATGCCATGAATTGAAGTTTCCTTATAATTAAGGTAGAATAGATGCTGACAAAATCATAATCATAGCGCAATTAATACAAAAAAAATCAAAATCTGCTGTGTTAGCCAAGTATGTACACATACACACACACACACGCACATACACTGAATCTGACTTTGGTTTATACTGTATATTCTATAAAAATATCTTCACTATAAAAGTTAAGAGATGCTGATCACACATTCAGGTGGCCAGGAAGAGGAGTGGCCAATATAACCAATTCCCTTTGGGGCTTTCAGGTGAGTTTGCATACAGCAACTGATGTAATGACACATATGCACGCTCTGCTCATCCCTCGAGCTTCAGTCTCCAGCTTATCTGCATCATGTCTGCACCTGTCACTCTGTTGGTGTTGTGCTGGGCGTTGAGGCTGAGCTGCAGCGCCAGTTCACCCGAGTGGTTCCAACACATTTCTACCAGTCTCTTCAATTTGTCCGGGGACGTTGTGCTCGGAGGGCTCTTTCCCATCAACCTGCTCACCAGCAACCTCAGCCAGAGGAGGGAGCCTGACAACATCAGCTGTGAGAGGTAATGAGTTTTGAAAAATAGCATTTTTGGGGGGGAAATAATGACCCTCTTATTTGAGATTCCGACTAACAAGGCTTCTGTTTTCCTGCCACAGTTTAAATGAGGACGGACTGGGCCTTTCTCTTGTCATGAAATTTGCAGTGGATGAAATCAACGCAAACCAAGTTCTGCTCCCCGGCATCAAGTTGGGTTATCAAATCTATGACACGTGCAGACAATCTGCCGTCATCGTGAAGCCTACCATGTCTTTCCTCACTGCAAAATCCAACAATGCGCTATCTGTTTTGTGCAACTACACCAACTATGAGACCAGCATATCGGCTGTAATCGGTCCCTATAGCTCGGAAATGGTGTCGGTCATAGGAAAACTCCTGGGATTCTTTCTGATGCCACAGGTTTGGTTGAAAATATGTCTAGCAATATGTCTGCGTATATTCACATCCTGGGCTAATTTAACTGTTCCTAAAAAATATTCGTAATGTTGAAAATAAATCTTTAAAGTGAAGCTTTAAAGCTTCTACAGTGTCCCACAAGAAGCTGATTCTTTCATCTCAGAGGGAAATGAGGCTCAAATTGTTGAATTGTTGAATGAATACTCGCTGTCCTACAAAGCAAGCTGTGTCACAGAAAAATATTTGTTCATTTATTATTGTCAAATATTAATTATTTTTCCTGTTTTTAGTTTTTGAAGTACAGTAACATAGAAAACTACTGCCCACTTACAGAACAAATTATCCTACAACCACAGTAAATGTGCATTAGGGCTGCAACTGACGATTATTTTCATTGCTGTTAATTATTTTCTCAAAAAAACAAACAAAAAAAAAAAAACAGAGGAAACGTAACTGTCGATTGTCAATTTCACTGTTTATTGACTGGTTTCCCAAAAAACATATTTGAAAGAATTATTTTCTCGATTAATCAATTAGTTGTTTGGTTTATAAAATGTCAGAAAATGGTGAAAAATGTTTCCTGAGGCCCAGGATGACGTCCTCAGATGTCTTCATTTGTCCACAACCCAAAGATATTCAGTTTACTGTCATAGGGGAGTAAAGAAACCAGAAAATATGCACATTCAAGAAGCTGCAATTAAAGAATTTTGACTTTTTTGTTTTCTTAAACAATTACTCAAAGCCAATATTAAATTATGAAATTAGTTGGCTAATAATTTATTAGTTGACAATTAACAGCTCTAATGTGCATTGTGTGTCAATAATGGAGCACTGCTGGGAAACATCAGTGTGGTAAAATTTAAAAAGTGGTATCTAACTCTTCTCGCTTCAGATTAGCTACGGCGCCACCAGTGACAAATTCAGTGACAAGCTCCTCTACCCGTCGTTCTTCCGTACGGTGCCCAGTGACAAGTGGCAAGTGGACGTCATGGCGCTTCTGTTGAGGGAGTTTGACTGGAACTGGGTGGCACTGGTGGGCAGTGAAGAGGAGTACGGACAACGAGGTGTGCAGGAGTTCTCCAAAAAAGCAGAAAAAATGTCCGTCTGCGTGGCCTATCAGGGGCTGATTCCAGTGTACGCTGACCCTGCACCAGCTATCAATACCATCATCCAAAACATCAAAGAAACCAAAGTCGGAGTTGTTGTGGTGTTTTCTCTTGTAGAGCCTGCTGTGAGGTTTTTTAAAGCGGTAAGTGCATCACTTTGAACAAGTATTACATATTATTGGTGGATAGATTATATTCAGTTCAATGATCCAATCTGATCTACTCCAGGTCATCAGGGAGAACATAACGGCTGTGTGGATTGCCAGCACAAGTTGGGCTATCAATAATCAACTGGTTTCCCTCCCCAATATGAAATCAGTCGGTACAATCATTGGATTCACTGATGACACAGAGACCCTGGATCTGCTCCCTGCCTACACGCAAGCACTCTTCACCAAACTGAGTGAGGAGAGGGCAAAGACACCTCCTCCAGCACCAAAGTCCAAAGGCAACCCTGACAATCCCTGCCCACAGTGTTGGTTCTTGTCAAAGGATAATATCAGCCTGGTAACAAACGCTGTAGTGAATCACACAGCTTTCAGTGTGTATGCTGCCATCTACAGTTTGGCACAGGCACTGCACAACCTGCTGAGATGCAATTCAACTGCATGTATGCATGGGCCTGAAACCAAAGTATATCCCTGGGAGGTGAATTCTTTTCTTTTTTGTGGTCAGATGATTTGAAATTAAAATCATTTTTCAACAACATTGAGATTAACAGATTAATTAAATTGATTAAAGAATAAAATCTTTTTTTCCAGCTGTTGGAGGCTTTAAAGAATATGTCTGTAAACATAAGTGGCAAACATTTAGAGTTTGACAGTAACGGCAACCCAAACATCGGATACAGGATGATTGAGTGGGTCTGGAACGGTTCGAAGGTCAACTTCACAAATGTTGGAAGCTTTCATGACCAACAACTGACCATCAACAAGACCCTCTTCAAATGGCACACTGACAACTCTCAGGTAATTTCAACAAGTTACTAGAAACTTGATAGAAATTTGTAATCATCATGTCTACCTGAAAAGCTTTGTGGTTAAATTTCATCGGATCATAAACAAGTCTGTGCTCCTGAAATGTTGCATTTTTTCCCACAACAACTTTACTACAACAACTTTTGCAGGTTCCTGAGTCCAAATGTTCAGCAGACTGTGACAAAGGCCAGGTCCACAGAGTCAAAGGCTTCCACTCCTGCTGTTTTGACTGTATCGACTGTTTGCCAGGCACTTACCAGAAAAACAAAGGTAATGTGTTTTCTGTCACATACTTATACCTAGGGCTGCCCCCGACTAAGAATTTCCCGAGTCAACCAACAGTCATCATTTAGGGCCATTAGTCAACTAGTTGCCTGCCTGTTGAGACATTAATTTAATTATTAAATTATATATTTTGGGCAGGGCAACACAATGGTTTGAGCTGAAGGTGTGAGAAAGAATAGTATCAGTAACATTGTTAACACTGTGCTACATTACAGAGAAATACAAAACCGTACTAATGAACCTTCATTAATATAGGCCTATATTTTATCTACAAGTGCACGTCACACACTGAGCGAGCCGCCTGTTAATGACGCTGTCAACAAAGCAGTAATGATTGTGCTAAGTGGCTAATGGGCATCCTACTTACATGTTTCAGATGATACGTCATGTTTGTAGTCGACCAATGAAGATAAGTTTACATATCACCTTCGGTTCGTCCTTCACCTTCTCAAAGTGATGCCACACTTTTTTTCTCTTTTTTTTTCAAGCAAGTGATGAAATCTTGTTAGCTTATGACGTTTCTGGTCAATTAACGTTTGGTCAACTATTAGGGGGCAGCCCCACTTGATCATTATTAAAATTCCTTATGTCAAGGAATAGTGTAACGTTTTGGAAAATCAAATCATTAAATTTACAGAGAGCTTAATGAGAAGTTTCACATCACTCTCAGGTCTTAATGGTAAAGACAGCAGCCAGTTTGTTCTCACAATCCTCATAGACATTACTGGCTGAAACGGCGGATAGTGGAACAACCAAATTGTAGTGTGTCCTGTGTTGTTGGTAGCTGCTAGTCTCTGAGAAAAAAAAACAGAACATGATCTGGTTGTCTTGCCTGGGACAGTTGTGTGTGAAAAGTTGTCTGTTTCCACTTTAATCAAAGCGAATTTCCTGTTGTGCTCTCTGACTCACAGAGGACATCCAGTGCACTAAGTGCCCTGAGCGTCAATGGTCTCTAAACCGCAGCACTAAATGCACTGACCCCACCTTTGTCGTTTTGTCCTGGGACACGTCTGAGGCTCTGAAGATGACGCTGGGTGGGCTGCTGCTCCTGGTATGTCAGGTGTCAGTGGGTGCTGTGTTCCTGAGATACAGAGCGACCCTGTTGGTAGCGGCCTCAGGGGGAGTCCTGAGTTTTGTGGCTCTGCTCAGCCTGATGGGAGCTTGCCTCAGTCTGGTGCTCTTCTTGGGACAGCCGGGGGACGCGGTGTGTCGTCTGCAGCTGCCCCTCACCTCCATTTTCCAAACAGTGGCCCTCTCCATCATCACATCCATCTCACTACAGGTGAGGAATGACAGGTAAAACACATCACTGTACTGTAGGATAAAAATAAATAGTGCACATTGTAATCAGGCTATAAACCTCTGTTTTTAAACAGATACTCTACGTGACAGAGTTTCCAAAGAAAGCCGCCTCTCACCTCCACATACTGAGAGGCCCTGGGAGCTGGCTGTTTGTGCTGGTCTGCTGTGCTGTGCAAGCTGGTCTCTGTGGCTGGTTTGTTCAGGAAGGGCTCTCGCTGTCTGAATATGTGGCACAAATTAATATAAACTTTGTGGAATCTTTTCTGGCATGTCCAGTGTCACCCTTGCATGGATTTGCTGTAATACAAGGTTTCAACGGTACCTTGGCCCTCATATCCTTCATGTGCACCTTCATGGCAGCAAAGCCTCTTCATCAGTACAACCTTGCCAGGGACATCACCTTCTCCACCCTCATCTACTGTGTGTTCTGGGTGACCTTTATTCCAATCTACATTGGTTTGAATGAAAAGAACAAGTCTATTGCCCATGTTTCATTCACCCTGGCAAGCAACTTGGGACTGGTGGTGGCCTACTACTTCCCAAAATGCTACCTGCTGTTGAGAAGACCTGAGCTCAATACAGCAGACCACTTCTGTACCTTCCTGGAGGGCATCCCACTAACACAAGCTCAGGAGGAACTACAGCCACGGACAGGGTCTCAGAAATAAACCAAAGTGCAGTTTTATGAATAAAATCTCAAAGAAAGAATCTGCAAGAGTCAAATATCTGTAAAACTTTCATTTTATATTTATATTTGAACAAATAATGTTTGTGAGTTTCATATAATAAATTAGCTTAAGCCTACAGTATAGGCTGTGGAACACTCTGGTAATTAGGCTTTAATAAGCTGACCTATAATGTACTGTGTAATCATCAGGCCCATACTGTATCTGCACCTTGAGAACTCCTCAAATTTCTTGCAGATTTCTCACAGATTTTAGGAATATAGACGCTGCTTGTAAAACTCAGAATATTGTAAATCTCTCCTCCACTCCCTTGTGCATGTGTGTGACTATCTTGTGTTGTAGTCAGTTATCATTAAAATCAAAGTTTGTATTGTACTGAGAGGAAATGTCAAAAATATGATCAATGAAAATATGATAAGATTTACTGTTAATAACTTATTAATAGATTGGCAAATTCATTTTTGTTCTCTCTACTCCATATTGAACCTTCCATTTTAATGACCCTGTGTCCCACATTTTGTTGATTGACTTTTCCAACAAATGTTTACATTTTTCTTGAAGTGTTCGTGATCACATAGAATTTCTGATTCAAAGTTTCTACTAAAATCTACTAAAGTAATTATTTTAGCCTGCTTGAGGTAATTTTAGGTTTAAATGTATTGTGTGAGGTTCTTATTGTTCAAAAGCAACTGTTTTGGGTCATTGCTGAAAACAATTTTTAAAAAATCTGCAGACTCCGTCGAGGCCTGGTAATCATTAAAAACATAAAAGATATACTGCTCATTTACAAAGTATGAAAACAATACATTTTACAACTTAAATTGCATTTTGTACATTTTTATTATAATAAAAAGTCTAATTTTCTTGTTAACATTGCTAACATGTATGCAATATATATAACAATAAAGGGGCAATAAAAAAGGTAATATTTTGTTTTCTTTAACTTTTCCAGTAGTATGTATCAAGGCACCGCCTATACTTGAACAATCTCAATCAGCGGTTAAGACGTCTTCAGGTCTTTAACTAAATAAAAGTAACAATGTCCTGGATATAAGTATTATTATCAAAATGCACCTAAGTTCAAAAAGTAAAGACGGATGGTCTCGTCATTGATATGACAGGGGTTTTTAGGTATATTGCTGATTAGATCCACTGAGATTGGAGTTGTGTGAAGTTACTCTGTGCTAGGATTTAGTGAGATTATCATGTACCTATAAGAATGATAATGTTATTAATTGCCCAGGAGAGCCCCTGAAATCCTAATTTTTTATCTTGTTGTACAACATAATAACCTGCATTTACAAATTATTATCTTGCGTGCATAAAATTTAAAAACATATTATATTTTGGGACCTTAAAAGCTCCATAATTTAACACCATAATGAGTACTTTCTACTAACCAATTACTTCACTCTGTAAGAAGTTGAACTATACCAAAGCTACCCTGTGGAAAAATCTTGTTCGGTTAACGAAAGCTACTTGGTAAAAGTATTTCAAACTACTTTGTGAAAAAAAGATAAAATTTACAATGTACATGTTATATAAAATTATAACATAATAAAGTAGTCTACCAAAAAGTCACATGCCAACAAAAATTGCCACTCAATTGAATTTATTGCATGGTTAACACTTCCTGCAGCTACAAATATTTTTCCTTGAGCCTCCCTGAGTGACTGGTGGAAAATGCACGACCCTCCCTCCACCATATAGTAATACTTACTGACAAAATATCACTATTTTAAGCTCAGATTTGGTTATGTTTTTTCTGACAAAAGCAAGCCTTGCGCATTATAAAAGAAGAAGCAGAAGAAGATACACTTTATTTATCCCTAAGGGAAAATTAAATTTTTTCACTCTGTTGTCATATACACATCCCCAAACAAGCGTCAGAGTGAGGGGGGGCTGCCTATTGACAGGTGCCCTGCTCAAGGGCACCCCAGCAGTGCCCAGGAGGCGAACTGGCACCTCTCCAGCTACTCTTACACACTCCATATTTGGTCTGGATGGGGACTCCCTCCGGTTCTCAACCCAAGTCCCCATGGACTGAGCTATTGCCAGCCCAGCAGTATGTTTAAGGACTGTCAGGAATTTGAAAATACAACGATAATTTCTGTTTTTACAGTTTCTGGCTATGATAAATGTTAAAGATGGAGTCTGTTTTAAAGAAAGCATGCCTTCCAAACCCACTCGAAGGCATGTTTTCTGTAAAAACCTGTGGTAAAATAAATACAAAATACAATCATTTCAGTTTCTATCCCCAGTGCTCATAAAAATATTTGACATACCTCCGACATTTTGCATCACTCCCTTCCCCCGACAACTAACGAACGGCCCTTAAAAGACGTAAGGAGCAACACTAGCCTAAAGGGAAAACTTTCAAGCTAAGCTAAGCTAAGCTAACGTAGCTTTTCTTTACTCCTCTCCGGCTCATCTGTTGCCATCCAGCTGACTTTACACCACAGAGTTACAGTCCTATGAATCCTGTCAGGCAGCTCCTCCTCTCAGTGTGTGCGTGTGTGTGTACAGGCAGACTGGGACCTCTTCACCACTCAGACTGGCTGTTAACACTTGGCACAAACCGCTGACAGACTGATGGTCCCAGGTCGCCGAGCAACGGTTGCTAACAACTCAGGCTTCCGTTAGCTTGCTGCGCGTCCTGACAGGTGACACTGCGTTTTCACTTTTTGAACTTTAAACTGGTGAGATAATTGCTTATTTGTTCTTAATAGCAGCCAGATCAATTCTTATTCGTCCTTAATAGCAGACATTTTGGTACCGTTCATAACTATAAACAAGCTAACTATCACAAGTCTTCCATAACGGCTAGCAAGAGCCGTGGCTACTTTGCTTATCTTAGCAAAGTAACGTTAACGTTGCTAACGTGTGTTGTGGTTAGCTAATGTTAGCATAGATTTGATGATCTGCCAGCTAGATTATCTTAAACCTAGATTTAAATATCTAGGTTCATACAGCAAACTCAGTCGTGCACACTCAAGTTTTTAATAAATAAATATCTAAAAATCAAATAACAAGAACTCTGTATTTTTAAATGTGTTTTTCAAGAAAATATTTAAGACAAAAATGTCTATCATTTTCACACATAAACTACCACTTCAAAACCAGTGTAAGGACATTTTTAAATTAATTTTCCTTTCCTTTTTTTTTAAGTTTTGCTAATCTAATAGGCAGACTAGATCAATGCCAATTAAATGCTGCTTCCATATTTTTTAACATTTTAGTCATATTTACATATTCAGCTTTTAATCTAGGGTTGAAGGCTGAGTTTGAGACTAGGATCAATTAAACGTAATGGTCAGCAGGATAATGACATTAAAAGTTGAATATTTTCTGTAGACGGCATTACTTTACTTTTAATTTTTATCCAATGAAGACCAGCATAACCATGCCTCGAGGAAGATCTGCCACGAGTGCCCGCTCAGACAGCAGTGAATTGGATATTGATGGTACAGGTAATATTGGTTGTACAGTGTTACTGTCATTAATTATTAGATGTTAATGGTATTTTTTCTAATTGCATGGCTGAAACAGCTACAATGTGCATATGATGTTTTTTTAAGCAGAATCAGAAATAGCCAAACTACAGAGACAGTTCAGGATCATGGAAGGAGATCGACAGGCCTACAGCATTCAAGCTCGGGAGCAGATCCGCAAACAACAGTGAATATGCACCACACCTACATCACATTGTCAACATGGTAGATGGGTTTTTTTTAAAAATTTGCCTGATTGGTTGTTAATGTGATGTGAATGAAGGCAGGAGATAGAGAACCTGCTGAAGGAGCAGAAGGAGCTGCATCGAAACCTTGGTGCATGTAAGAGCGTGTCACGCCAACAGCAGGACAGTGAGGACACCCGGAGTCTTCGTGCTCTGCTGGAGCAGAGAGACATGATAGAGGAAGAGCTGGACAAAGAGAGGCAGTGTCAAAAAGAGCTGGAGAAAGAGGTGAGTTAAAGGGACATTTCACCCCCAAATCAAAAATACATATTTTTCCTCTTACCTGTAGTGCTAGTCATCAATGTAGATTGTTTTGGTGTGAGTTGCCCAGTGTTGGAGATATCGGCCGTAGTGATTTCTGCCTGCTCTCAAATATAATGTAACTAGATGGTGCTCGGCTTGCGGTGCTCAAAGCACCAAAAAATTGGGTTTAAAAACTCTACAGCAATGTGTCTTTCCAGAAATCATGATTCGGTAACTCAAGATAATTCACAGACCATGTTGTGTGCAGCGTCATGATTGAACTGTTTTCTTTTTTATTGCATTACACCCACCAACAGTATCACCGCAAAGAGGGAGACATGCATTGATGACAGGCTAGTACTTGTGACTGTGCAAGATGTAAACATTAATGGGGTCCTACTTGGCTGAGCTGTACTCTTATCTAGCTCAGGTGACTTATGTTAGCAACATATCTACGCAGTGGTATGTTTGAGGTTGAGTTTTTCAAAAGTTTGTTGATGGCTCTTTTAGCACCACAAGCTGAGTGCCATCTAGTTCCATTATAGGTGAGAGAAGGCAGACATCTCTACAGTTGATATCTCCAACACTGCAACTCACACCAAAACAATCTAGATTGATAAATAGCACTACAGGTAAGAGGAAAACTCTGTATTTTTGATTTTTGGGTGAACCGTCCCTTTAAATCCTTTTCACTCAATATGATACTAATTCTCATTTAATTTTATTTTTACTGATGTTTTGCAGTTTATGTTATATGTTTGTAATGTGGGCAGATCGCAAACATGGAGATGAAGCTGGCAGGGCTGAGGAAAGGGGAGATCAGTACTGGTGATCGACAAAAGTCTGAGTTAGGACGGACTCAGAAAGCCATACGCACTTTGGAATACAAACTGAACAGAGTGAGTTCTGAAACTCATTATCACAAAATAACTTAAAAAACAAACAAACAGATAATCAAGTATTGTGATACATTGTCTGTTTTCACCAGTGCATATCTTCACATATATTCTATTGCATGATTTTAAACTTTGCAATGTCGTGTTCAGGCTTTGACTCGCTTCAATGAGCAGCTGACCAAAAACAGCCACCTGAGGGAGGAGATGCAGATTCTTCATATTGAGCGTGCCCGCTTCCTGCAACTACACAACAGGCTGGACAAGGTCAGAGGTCACATGGTAGAGGTTTTAGAGACGAGGCCTCTGACTCGATGTAGCTTCTTTGTTTAGCTTTCTCATTATGTAGCCCATTATTCAGGTTGTTTTTTGCTGGTTTTCAGTTGACAAGAAAGAAAATATGTCTCTGCACTGATTCTTGTGTGTTGTAGGAACTGCAAGATGTCCGCAAGAAGATCGGGGAAATTGTCAACCTGTCCACTGCTGCTTACGATGCCAGGTCAGATTTGAGACCGTTAAGTCATAATATCTACAAATCAGCATGGTATGCACTCATCTTGATTGTTAAATGTCTTCTATAAACCCTCAGAGTGGAGGCTCAGTCCAAAATGACAATGATGAAGGAGAAGGCAGTGAAGGACCTCGCTCAGTACAATGCTGAGATGAAGGAACTGGAAAGGGTTATTGCTCATGAGTGCAGCCTGAAAGAGTTTATGACCACCAAGTGCAGCGAGCGGAGCGGGCAGGATGATGGCCATGAGATGGGACACCGACAGCGTAAGACACAGCCACTGTGTTGTGACTAATATTGTTGTTTTGACATATCAATAATTATGGTAATGGCGAAAGTGTTAGCGATGATAATAACACTGGCAGTGATGATGCAATGTTTATTCAGTGGGGAATCTCATCAATTACTAGCTTATGTTTAATCGCCCGGGCACAGTTTCATACAATATATCCCATGAGCACGAGCTAGAGAGAAAAATCCCATCTGATCTGCATGCAACAAAGTGATTGATTTTGAGATGATGGAAAAGCTTACCGCAGCCACACTGAAAATGGTTTTTAGGAGATTATGTTGCATGTTCTGCCTCTGAACTGAGTGTTGTGAACATTTAGAGGAACTTTGAGTCATCGACATCTGTTCATCATTCTCTGTCAAACTGAATACTGGCAAACACTATAGCATTACCCAGTTTAGTTTATTGCTATCATTATATTGTATTTATTGTATCAGTAACAATGCTTTTTTTTTTAATTTATAAGTATTCTTTTTCAGTCAGGAAAGCATAGTGTATTTATGGCACCACAACTGCTTGCTCATTGCCAGTAACAGGCAATTAAACAGTTTTAACAGAGTACAATTGACCAGTTGCCAACAACATTTACAGCAGAAACAATTAGACAGAAGCCAGAATAAATGTAGGACTGCTACAGAGTAAATAAGTCATCAATTCAGTTAAGTCAGTTTTTATTTATGTAACCGGTGGACTCTAGTGTTGTCTGCATTGTGTTGATATGAAGAGGCCCAAACTGTGGATTTCTTTGGAGGCAGTCTCAGTTTATTCCTGACAACTCTGACAGCAAGAGTTAAAAACAAAATCCTCTGTCAATTGCGACCATAGAACTCGAGCTCCTACACAAATTAAGTGAAACGGGAATATGTTTGCATATTATACAATAAGTTTAGGCTGAAAAATAAACTTAGAAACATAGCTTAACAGTGCTAAAACACAGAAATTACTATGAGAGCAATGTCGCTTTCCTATTCCATGAAGTACAACAGCAAAAGGGGAGAGGTAAGGTTGGAGACACCCCTGTATAGGTGGGGTACCCCCAAGGGTGAACGTAGGGGTACAGACCCTGAGTATCAAGTGTTCCACATATTGACTATAGAGACCTAAGCGTGTCAGGTAATAACAACTGAAACAAATTTTGTGTAATTATATTACTTCATATTACAAATGTACATTTGACTTTGTTACACATATCACTGCTGTGTAATTGACCCTGCTACGTTTATATAGTGCCAAATCGTACCAAAATTGATTTCAGGACACTTTTCATACAGAGCAGGTCCAGACCGTACTCTCTTAATTTACAGAGACCCTACAATTCAAAGGAATTCCCACCAAGAGCAAGTACATTATGCAACTTCGGTGAGGAAAAACTTTCTCAAGCAGAACTAGACTCTGTGGTGGGCGGCTATATGTCTCTACTGGTGAGACACAGAGATGCACAGCAACAACAATAATAACATTAAAAAAATATTTCACTGCTGGAAAGATGGTCTTTCCAGAAACTGGGCTGTCTATGCAGTAAAAAGATGCAATACTTTTAAAATTGCTGCTACATGAGGTAACAGAGGTAACAGAGGTAAAGGGCTGTGGTGGAAGAGGTGGAAAAGCTAAATCAGCAGAATGCACTGCTTCACACCAGACCAATAAATGCCTCCACTGGTGGGTGACATAATGTGTGTTTGTCTATTTTGACACAGAAAAAAAATGGCAGCCAGCCTGTAACAAACAAATTAAAATCAAATTAGCATGGAAGTTAAGCTAAACTGTGTTTCTGAAAACATTTTAGCAGGGCTGCTCATTGAATGTCGACTTTTGAGACTTTAATCGGCAAACCCTCAGTTGGCTGATATTGCTTCAGGTCAAGCAGTCATTTTTGGGTTTATTTTGCTAGTCAGTGTGTTGTGCATGTACTCTTGGACGTTTTGGTCCCCAGATTTTGCTGCAGAGTGAGTGCTCTTGACTTTCATACTAGTCTTTGGCACAGTCAGCTGCTAAGGTGATTATCTTGTCTATTTTGCTTGGAAGTGGGGAATTCACAGCTTACACGTTCTTAATACAACAGTCTCTGGCTTTTGTTTGATATCTAGTGTCAGCAAAAAATGTTGTTGCACATTTCTGATCTGTCGTTAGTGAAGTTAGCTCGTTGACTGTATATCATGAAAGCTGCTGTCACACTGAACGTCCCGCTGAGCCTTGTTAAAACTTAAAAACTTTATATGAAAAAGATAAAATTGAATGTTTGTATTTAACAGCTAAATCTGATTCAACTAACTAAATTCTGAGTCAGGTACAACCCTACATTTTAGGCAAGAAATAGGCAATGCAGTCACAGAGGTCTGATTCATATTTAATCAGCCCTGCTTAGTTTGGATCTGAGTTTGAGAGATCGAGGAACTGGTAAGATGGAGGGAAGTTTAACACAGTTCATTTACACAGGCACCCCACATTGTTATGATTTAAAGCTGGTTAAAAATTGTCAGGGTTTCCCTTTAACAGCTGTAATAATGATAAAAATATGAGCAATAATAATTACAGCAGTGGATATAATAGAATACTTTTAATAGTAGCAATAATAGCAGCAATGATAATAGAAGTATGACTAATATAGTACAGTGATGCTGCTGACAATGGCTGTAACACAGCTCTGGTGATTCTGATCAGGTATAATTATTTCCTTAGAAATGACTAACCATTTGAGAAACCTACTAGAGTAACAGTTAAAAGTACCTGGTTAATACATTTCTCAAAGTACAAGTTATTTTCCATTTTAATATTTTTAGGGTGTGAGGGCCACTGCAAAACACTATCAAAACATCAAAGATTAATTTTACACATAAGATATTAACATATTGGTAGCTAACGTTAGCTTGCTAACTATATTTCACTGTTTTTCAGGAGGCACAGCAAACACTTCATCATGTAACTGCTGTCTTTTTTAGATTTTGGTATAAAAGCATGGCCAGATGGGGCCATTGATTGCTGGGTTTCCCCAAGTAAAGTTGTTAGGCCAGGTAGCAATTTAAAAAAAAAAACATCACTTTTTAGGGCTTTTTGCCTATATTTAAGGACAGTTGGAGAGACACAGGAAAGGGGAAGAGAATGGGGATGATATGCAGCAAAGGGCTGCAGGTTGGAATTGATTTGGGCTGCTGTAAGTGCTCAGCCAATGTGGGGCACTGCTGACCTAGACATTGCCCCAGTATATATCTGTTGACGTGACAGGTGACCTGACACAGGTTGGCGTGGCCAGGTGGAGAAGTGTTTTTTTGAGAAGGGCCAGCAACAGACTTTGTTTTGATTTTGATGTTAATGCAGCAAAGTTGGTCAAAATACTTTATTTTTGTATGTCAAAAGTAGCATTACATATGATACATAGTTTTATAATGCAGATTTGGTGTATATTCATGAGTGATACAGGGCCAAAACAAGATGTAATGTCAGGGATGTTTTTCTTTACTCTCTAGGCAACTGTAGTTGAAAATACACCTTAAAATACACTCTTTGAGGGTTTAGCCATTGCCATCATTGCTATCTGCAGTAGAGATGCTCCTCATGTGCTCTCCCCCTTCTACACTCAATCCCTGCTGTCAGAGCAGACTCATTGTAACGAAGGTATACATGGCAATTGTAGCAAAGTAAAAATAGATTACCAGCTCAAAAATATACTTGAGTAAAGAGTAGAAGTACACTTTTAAAAGAGGAGCTTGAAAAGTACTCATTCTTAAAACACTACTTTGTTACTCGTGCGTTACTTGTAACATGTACCTGTACATTACCTGTTGGTAATGATGCTTGTTTGTCCCAGTGTCAGCACTGAAGGAGCAGAGGAGGATGGACTCAGGGGAAGAGTCGCTGGATGCTCTAGAGGAGGTGTTCAATAAGATCCAGACTGTGACAGGAGAGGACAACCTGGACCTGCTGGTCACCAGGTTCATCCAGGGTAAGTCTTACTAACACAACCTGACTATTTCAGACTCATGTATACACAATCACAGGAGCCCATCTACATTACTGAAGTCATGACAGGATCTGTATTACCAAAAAAAAAAACGTTATTTGTGTGTTTATTGTTGATTCATAGACAGTGGCACCATAATTATAGTCATCTATTTCCTTTGACAAAAAAATGTATATAATGTATATGAATTTAGTTTACATTTCACTTCCTTTGGTGTAACACTGAAGCTAAATAAATTGAGGGTCCCACTTTGATAATAATAAGAATAATAAGTCTTAGTTTAGAACATTTAAATGTGTCTCACTGCTGTACTGCTGTTTCGTTGTGTAGTTGAAGACCGGAACTTTGCACTCTTCAACTTTGTAAATGAGCAGAACAATGAGGCTGAGGCACTGAGGGATCAAATCAGCCAGGTGAGTATATTCATCATTAAATTTTCCATTTTTAACTTTACAACATTTGCTGAAACACCTGTTCAGTGCAACAGCGTTGATCATAGAGGTTACAAGCAGCCAGTATTGAGAATTTCAAAGGCTTTGGTTGCAGGTTCTGTTAGCTGACATCAGTTATCTATATATTTAAATGTCTGTGCTGAAATGTGTGAATTTACAGATACAAGCAGAGATTGAGCAGTTTCGAGTGGCAGGTTTACAACAGGAGCAAAACCATCGCTCTCTGCTGAGAGACATTGATGAGCAACAAAAGGCAGCTGAGTCTCAAGCTGAGGACTATGAAAACCAAGCCAGCATCATAAGCAAAATCCTGGAAGAGATCAGAACAGGTTTGGCAGCAATTTATTTCACGGGTCTGTAAATTCCTGATTGTTTTCTAAGAAGTTTTATGGTTAGTAATTACAGGGGAAATAGAGGCCGTGTTCAATCAGTAAAATTCCAATTAGTTAATTCCACTAAAGTAGTGGAGTCTGAAGTCTTTTAGTCAGTACACAACAGAACAGATAAACATGCAAAAATATGAAATATGTCTACAGGTAAGCATGTAGTTTAACACACATGTAGAACAATGTCCAATAATCAATTAATAGTAAGTTTACATGGGTTTTATTTAAACAGTTATATCAAGCAAATCCTAATTTCCCTAAATAAGTTTTTTTAGTTTTTTAAGTTTTTTTAAGGAAACATCCCATGAAATTATGAGCAAATCGCAGGTCTATAAAATACTGATTTCTCTTAAATACACAGATTACAAAAAAGCTGCAACATGCTGCAGAAGAATAAGATTTTTTTACCAAGTATGTTTTCATTTACAAGGAAATTGCTTTGGCCTTTGGTATACAATAAACTTATTAAGAGGAAGTTTTAAAAAAGAAGTAAAAATAAAGGCAAATTACTGCAACAGCCTGAAACATAAATATAAAAATATTAAAATGAAATAAAACATGAAAAGGTTACTTAAAAAATACAATAACATAATAAAAGTGCAACATAGCTGTTTCAGAATAAGAGAGCTGTACAGTTTTGTGCACAAATATTAATTAGAGGATGTGCAAAAGTTCACAGAATACCACATATAGACAGTGATCATGGGACATGGGACAGACTGTTGCAAGTACTCCTGACTCTTGTTTTTCTGATCTCACAGGAGTGAACAGCATCTTCTCCAAAATGGAGTGTGACAGCTCAGTGATAGAGGATAATCTGGGCTCCTCTTCAGGGGTCAGTGAGAACAACATCATGTCCTACCTGGGTCTGGTGGAACAGAAGACCAACGAGCTGCTCACCATACAAGCTTTCCTCAATTCTAAAGTAACCTGTCAACCTGTGGTCCTGTCTTTTCTTACACACATTCCTGTTATGTGTTTGCCCTGTAATACAACGTGCATTTGTATTTTTAACTCTACAGGATCTGGAAAAGGACTACAATCCAAAAGACCTGGCCAAATTCCTTTTGGGTCAAAATCCAGATCTGCTTCAGCAGAACGTTACAATCCAACCTACAATCAGCAGGTCGGCCTTTTATTTTTTCATTTCAGTAAATGCTTACATTTAAACACTTTGAACATCAGGCTGATGAGTGTGTTTGTGTTGGTTGGACTTCTCAGTGTGGAGTATGATGCAGAAGAGTCTCCGGTCACTGATGAGGAAGAATGGCCACTTTCACAGGAAGAACTCCGCAGAAGAATATTAAAAGGGGTTAGTGCAACACAGATCCTACACTTAAAGGTTCTACTATGCATTTTTTTTAAAATAATGTATAGGGTTGGGGTGTCGGTGACTTAGTGGTAGAGCAGGTGCCCTATGTACAAGGCTGTTGCTGCAGCGGCCCGAGTTCGACTCCAGCCTGTGGCCCTTTGCTGCATGTCACTCCCTCTCTCTCTCCCCCCTTCACACTTGTCTGTCCTATACATTAAAGGCTGAAAATGCCCCAAAAAATATTTTGAAAAAAATGTATAGGGTCATACAAAGGTAATTCCTTTCAGTCATGACTTATGAGCCACTAGAAGTGTGTGGCGGTGTATTTGTCTGCAGAGACTCTGCCCACAGGTGAGGTCGGGACTTAATAAAAAAATGTAGCAACCATGTGCCAGACCTTAAGTAGCAAGCACCAAGAGAGAGCTACGAAAATTGTGGACACAGCGCCAAAAAAATTCAAATATAGCGAATGAGAGTGAATCCGCGGTTGGCTTTAATTATTGCTGGCAATATTGTTTACAAGCTGTAACCAACAATTCATGCGTACCTTTAAGTGATTATTTGTGCTTTACGTCATGCTACATTTGGTTTATTTTTCTGGATGTGATTTACAGGTTCTGCAGAAAGAGAGTTCAGTCCGGCAGGCAGCAACCAAAACCTCAAAGACCAGTCAGCAGGTTGACGGCAGACAGCGCTCGCTGGAAGATGCACTAATCTGACACCCTGACCTGATCTGTGTAGTTCATGTGCACGTCTTTATAAAAAGATCCTCATCATCTGCAGTTAAAGAGCCTGCATTCATTGTTTACACTAATATAGATCAATGGGAGCCATGACTGCTGATGGAACAAGCCTGATTGGCTGTTTTAATACGTAGCAGCCTGCACATGTAAACATTTAAAGCTTAATTATGTTATGTGTGTGTCACCTTTTATGATGAATCATTGGCATGGTCTGTTATATCTCGGTGTGATTTGTTTAGTTGGAACTAATTAGGTTTGGAGCTATAAAGATGCCTTTTCAGATTCTGGTAACCAGCTGTCCTTTTGATGTGTGACTTGCCATCTGGCTTTGACTATACAATCTGGTCACAGTACAGCCCTCCCGCACTGGCAGCGCTTCATTACATGATACTTGCTGCTATGCTCAAATGGAAAGGTTGGGGGCAGCAGAACCTTTTGTAATTCTAATTGGCATGCTGAGACCTCCAGTCTGTGTTTCCAAGAAGGAGGTGAGGAGCGTTCAGCGCTTCACTGACTGTACACGCTGATTTTGAGCACATTTTTGTTTGGTGGAATAATAATGATTTTTCTCAGATTGGAATCTATCGCACTTATTTATTCAGATTTATGCGATAAAATCATTTAAATAAACTGTGACCTTTCATGTTCACCACAATCATTAATCATCAGTCCCTCATCATGCTCGGTCAGTTTACTATTCACAGTGTAGGCATATCATATTATTCTATGTAATATCAGAAGTGTCTGTATCTTTTTTATCTACAACAGTCAGTGTGGCTTTCAGATTGTAAAAAAAAAAAACTTCACTTTGATCCTCAGGAGTTTCAAATGTCATCTTATCCAAACATCCTGGAGCGAGCCCATGTTGGGGCAAAGATGGCAGTCACTGCTGCAGAGAGCAACTTCCTCTGTACAAAAGAGAACATCGGGACGGGGAACTTATTTTAAGAAACATATTTTTACTAACAGTGAAACAATTAACAAAGGGTGTTGCTATATTTAGTTTTAAAGGCCACTCTGTTGCCATCATACCTTTTTTTTTTCCAATGGTGCTGTACAGAGAAAGGCGGGGATTTAACAGAAGTGTACCTGCCCATACAAGACAGAGACACTTACAGGTTATTATGTTAATTATCTTGCTTGAATTGTGTGGTTTTAATTAGCTCATCTGTTAAAGGTTTTTCCCTCCAGTGAGGTTCCAGCAGCTGCAATTTTCAGGAAGTGAAACTGCCACTCTGTAAACATTTATGACTGATCGACCAAAGACTTGGTTTGCTCTGGTTAATCCCCCTCGCAGTCTCAACTGTGTGGCTATGAAAACAGATTATCAGAGATAAAAGGGCGCTGTGGAAAGGCAGAGGGGTGGCGGTGGTGGGAGATGAGATGGAGGAGGCTGCTTTCTTTGAAATTCTACTCTCACTTAGCCCCCTCCACTCCCAGCAAATTCTCGGTGCACACGGCTCTCTGCATTGCCATAGAAACCTTCCTTTTAATCACAACAGAAACCTCATTTCCTACCCCTGACAAAGAGTCCTCATTGCCTGTAGAGACCGCCTGCATCAGCCATTTCCAAGACCCACCTCCTTCTGCAGGCTCTACCTACTAGCCGCAGCGGCAGCCTCATTTACTCTTCCCTCTCCATATAAGCACATTTTCCACCTTTCCCTTGCTTTAGCTCTACAGTTTCCCCATTTTCCAGTGCATCTTCTGCTTTGCACCTCACGATCTCGTCATTTCAGTCACAGGTGTAGATTTCAGGGGAGGAACAAGAACATGTAGAACACGTGGATTTGTCCCCTCAAAAACCTGAGAGCCGCAAAGGACTTTTACTTTGACAACATTAAAGACCTTTACACCATAAACTGATGCAGACAGGCACAAATTGGTGCCTAAAAATTCACCATGATGCAGGAAAACAAAGGAGCACTGTAGATTTAGGGGATTTAGTAGCGCCTGGTGATGAGGATTGCAGATTTCAACCTGCTGAAACTTCTCCTGGTTAGAATTCCTTCAGTGTTCATTGTTCAGGAGTTTTTGGCAGGAGCCAAATTGTCCACAGAGGTTTATTCCTCTCCAAAACAAACAGACCAGGTGATTAAAGAACTTGTGAAAACACTGAGTGAATTTCACATTACAAATCAGTGTTTCTGTGATGCTGTTTGGCATGTTAAAGACAGGCTGCAGGCTTCTAACATGTTCACCTTTTTTCTCTGATAATTTAAGTTCTAGACGTTCAGGAGGTTTTTACCAGGAGATGAATTATCCGTGGAGGTCTCTTCATCTCAAAAACAAATGCACCTGGTAATTTCAATCAGCTAACACACTGAATAGAGTCGTTTCATGTTATAAAACTATGTTCTTGACAGGCTGCTAACTACAGCCCTTTACTTAGAGACTGCACTACATGGCAGCTACAAAGTCCCTTCTTTATGTCGCCTTTGCATTTTACACAGAACAGAACAACAGCAGCATCATTCTGCCTAGGTGTGTGATTTAAGAGAGGATGCCGGCATCATGGAAGCAAAAAAGGAGTGTAACACAACAGAGTCGGCATCTAGTGTGACACTGAGTTTAACATACAAGTCGGCAGCGATTTAAACAATAACAATGGCATTAACATGGCAATAAGAATCATTTAACCTCCCTGTTATATGGCAGTTGATCTTGTCCTGTGTCAGTGATTGTTTTCCCAATTTGCAGATATTTTCAACCGCTGTTCTTTAAGTTAGTTGCTAACTGCTTTTAGCTGCTTTCTAAATCTCCTGGAGCTGGGTTGCACACACAACACGTCGTCCAAACGTCAAACCCCTCATGGTCCCAGCAAGACGGGCTCATGTCCCTTTTATACAGACGCCAATTCAGTGCTGTTACTACAATGCCAGCTTAAAGGCGAGACCAGTATAGGCCCCTCAGCTCTGGAACTCCCTGTCTCAGGATCTGAGGCTGCTGAATCAGGGACATCTTTTAAATCACTTCTTAAAACTGATCTGTTCAAACAAGCCTTTTTTTCATTTCAGCACACTGTTTATCTATATATGTCTCCTTAGATTATTTTTATTATTTTTATCCTGTGTCATCAGTTAATGTATTCTTTTATTTTGTGTAACTCTAATTGTTTGATTTGCTGCACCTCAGAGCAATCTATAGGGTGATTAGTTGCCAACTTCAAGTCAAGACAAGTTCAACTTTATTGTCATTTCCACCTACAGAATACTTGAGAACGAAATTGTGCTTTCTCCTCTTTATCTTTATATAAAGATAAAATTAAAAATAGAAAGATCAAACCTTTGCTTATCTGCTTCAGTGATGGTATTTGATCTTTATTTTATTTTCATTGTTCTTAGTATTCTCTTAGAATTGCCTAATTTCATTTGCTTGAATCCTTCATAGTTTTAAATCCGGGATCAACCACGTTCTGCCTTTGTACCTTTATACAGAATGGTGAGGAGGCATAAAGGCATGCAATTCCCACCATGAAGATTCAGTGTAAAAGGGGCTTGTGGTGGACAATGCAAATGGCCTTAGCCAGTGTTTGGTTTGTCCATTCTCGGCTACCGTAGAAACATAGATCTCCTTCGATGAGGACCTGCTCCGTATTCAGATAAATGTCTAATTCTAGGGTAACAAAAACACAGTCATTCTGATTTTCAGGTGATTATACACTAATAAAAGCATCCTTATTATATTCCATTGCTACTCATATACCCCCTAAATCCTACACACTGGACCTGTAAGTATTTTACACCCAAAGCTCTCTGCTGCAGGACCCCAAACCCTCATTTTCATGGTTCCTCCAACCCCCAAATGTTGAAACAAAACCTACGCCCTTGATTTTAGTCAACGTTTCATTCTTGTGTATACCCTGCAGGCTGTTGAAATTGTTGCATATAGTTTAACTCATCCTAATCCAAAATGTCTAAACAGTTCCCTGGAAACACCTACACGCCCAACAAATACATGCACAAGAACATGCAAGGACAGGTAGCATTTCTCCATGCCTGTCTGTGGCCTACTCATCTGTTTCTCGTCAAAGTGTTACACTTATCAACCACAACGCTTGACGTCCTGTTACGCTCATAGTGTTTCTCTCTGTTCAGCTCTTCAAAAACTGGTGTGGGAGTCCATTGTTTCAAGTAGCTGTTTTCTGTGCATTGTAAAGTTCTTGTTAAGTTTCATCTCACTATAGGCAAAGTTTTCAGTTCAGTGCTCTCCACTTCCTGTCCCCCAGTCTTGTTCTGCTTTGGGAACAAAGTGTGTTCGCACTTTTAAAATACCTTGTTCCCTTTATCTCAGACAAGACTGCTATCTGGACCCAGAAACTACCCATGTCCTCTGTCTCCCGCTCTGTCCTCTCTCTCCCTTGTTTGTTTAGTTGGGAATTTTGCCAGGTATTTCCCCAGTCAGTCTGCCTGCACCCACAACGCTCCCTCTCCTAGACGAACGCCCCACCCCCCCAACTCTCACACCCTCCCACCCTTCCATGAATGTTGCTAAGCAACATGAGAGCCGGTGCATTTTCCAGCCAATCAAATTACTGAACATATTTTTCGAACTGTGTTAAGGAAAGGAAAGAGGACATCACTTTATTCCTATCAAACCCTCCTTCAATTATGGGATTTACACCTTGCAGGTGATCGTGGCCATTTCATCTGGCTGCACATGCACGCTTTTAGAGAAGTAAGCCTTTGATCACTCTCAGTGCCGGTTCATTCCCAACATGTATCAGCAGTGCACCACTGGGTGGCAGCAGGATCAGTTTCTCTGTTACCACACAGGCTGCAAGAATTTTTTTACTGCTGTTGCTAAGCAATCCTGACTCTCGTGTCTTACCTGTGAAACATTTGTGATTTTTACAGATGTCCCTGACACCATTTTGTCTTTGTGTTCACCATTTTGAAATGCACCCCATTTTGAAAGGAATGCAAAAATTTGCTTCCGCTTTAAACTGTTCACATCCAAAAAATATGAACCTTCTAAAATATATTATCACAATTCACATCACTGCAGAGACAAAGCCTGTATGTTTCTGCAGGCAGAATGAATGATAGCCTCCATGTTTGGCTTAAATATTAGCCATGAACGGCTTCAGTTGACTTCATCTCATCGTGCAGGAGGCAGGAAATGTGCTCTTGAGTGATTAGGGCTAGCAGCTCTTGTCTTCCACTTTACCAGCAGTAGCGAGGTCCATACACTCTCTGCACTGATATGCTGTGCAGCTTCCTGTTTTCTTTGTGCAGGAGATATTAGCACCAACCGCTTTGATGTTTCAGACATGATCCAGATGATCAAGT